TAATTCTGGTTCGCGTTAGAAAGATCCTCCCATGCGAAAATATACGCGAGAGCAATCGATACTGGGTTATGACGAGAGCGACCTCCTGTTACACAGAGAAGGATAATAATAGAATTACCGTGCCTCTCTAAGCTCGTAATGGAGCTCTAATTGGCTTTTAACGACACGATGGCGTTGATAACTCAGTTTCACGAGTTGCGAACTCGTTTCTCCGCCGGGATAGTTCCCGCATTCGGAATTTTCGATTTCTGCCAGGCTATAAAGAAATTCGAAACAATCACATTCAATTCCATCGATTCGTCGCTTATTATCGTTATTATTATTATTTTCCTTTTCACAGTGCACTCTTCCATAAATGTAATATCGCGCAGTTCATGTAATCCCCATAGATCGATTCTACTCCGACGCGCAATTTTAGATAACGAAATTACACATTGCAATTAGTCGGGAGGCGAAAACCAATCCTCGCTGTAATACAGTCAATTATCTTCGCTCGATGTGTCAACGAGCGAGATAAGAGCAACAACATGTCACCGATATCACACCTGGAGACGTGTCCGATTGAAACGATTTCGTTAATTCGCTCTTCTCACTTGCAGAGACGCTATCCACGAACTTCTGGGTCACATGCCATTGCTAGCCGATCCAAGTTTCGCTCAATTCTCTCAGGAAATCGGTCTGGCCTCGCTCGGAGCCTCCGACGAGGAAATTGAAAAGCTATCCACCATTTATTGGTTCACCATTGAGTTCGGTCTTTGCAAGGAAGGTGCCGAGGTGAAAGCTTACGGCGCCGGTCTCCTGTCCGCTTACGGAGAGCTTCTTCACGCACTCAGCGATAAATGCGAGCACAGGCCCTTCGAGCCAAAGACTACTGCCGTTCAGAAGTACCAGGATCAAGAATACCAACCGATCTATTACGTAGCGGAGAGCTTCGAGGACGCGAAAGAAAAGTTCCGTCGCTGGGTAAGTATCGATCGATGCTGGAGATTTCAACGCCTGGTTGTGGCGCGCTGATACATATATTATACGTACTGCGTTACAGTGTTGATTTTGTCGAGCGGTCAATAGTGTTACTAGTTTTAATGAACTTGTCGAACGAGGGATATTTGCAGGAATTTAGTCAAAATTCAGATTGTTGATAATAAATTTCAAAGAAATATTTATAAATATACTGCTGTAATAGACTGTGGATTTTTATTCGTTTAAAGATGCAGAAATCATTATGATATTTCGAAAATTCATTTTTCTTTTTTTTTT